CCCCCCCCCCCCCCCCCCCCCAATGTTTGCCATCGGGGTTAGGTTTTCGTCGCTTGGCAACGACGTTGTCAACCATGTCGCCCTCCCGGGTGTTTGCCATCAGGGTTGGGTTTTCGCCGCTTGGCAGCGATGTTGTAGAACAAGCCGATCACTTCGTGAACTCGGCAACCAGGTAATCGTTTTTTTTTTACCTCTGTTTTTTTTTGCGGGCGGTAACCGTAATGGTGGTCGAGTTGATCATGTTGTGCGGGGTCGAGAACCCTCACTTCGCGCAATGGGGATAATCGGACCACGATGTGTTGAATTGGTCAAACACCCTCGAGGCAGTCACACAGTGCTTGTAACTGTCTCTGGAAGTGAAAGCACCAGAAAATATAATTAATTCATACGCAGCTGTCATCCGTACGCAAGGAAGTAAGCACAAGATGCCGAAAACCCTAAGCAGGATGCAGCTCACTCTTCATGCGACTCGCCGAATACCTTACGGTGCTTCGCGCTTGGTGATGTGAGAGCCTGGTCCGGTGAGAACCCGGCGTGCTCCGTCCCGGCTTTGTAGGGATGCGAGGTCAATGGTCTAACGACTACGGAATGCACGACTATGAGTACACACCCCCTTCCCATCGTAATTACACCCCATCATTATCACCCTCCCTGTGGACTGGACCATGTGAGTGCGCTTCATCACACGGGCGATGTTGTCACAAACGATTGTTATCACACCCCCTGTAAGCGGGGTTCCGTGAGTGCACTTGATCACCCGGGTGAAATAAGATACCACACCCCCTGCAGAATACCACACTTGGGTGAAAACTTCGGTACCCATAAATGCTATCACATGGATGCGGTATCTTATGCAACCTACGGTACTTGTGCGCACGTTTTTCTTTGTGTAGGTGTGGAAGCATATTGCATGACACCACTTCTACGTGACGATGGGTGTCAAAAGCGCAACGCGCTAGACGGTAAATGCACGGTAAACAATTCCGTCCGAAGGAAGCAAAACATTTTCGCACGTACTGAAGAATACTGCTCTGTTCATGAAAAAGCACCGGGCGCAATCTTCTAGCGGGCAAACATGCCGACAGCCCCACAAACAGTGAATGGGTACGTAACCGCTATTGCTAGCTGAAAACAGCTCCAACAACAACGGTTGATTTTGCGGCCTTACAACGACTAAAGAGGGGCGCAGTGGTGCCACGAGATTGTTGTCATAGCCGTAACGAGCGGAATTATATTTTTCTGAACAGGGAAGCGCTAGACCGGAACCCTAACTGTACAACCCAAAAGTTGCCATGCGTTCCAAAGATCCATATGAACGCAGCTGCAGTTCACCATGGATGAGCGGGTTTCTCTCAGCCACATCGTGACCGCTACTTCTCGGCCACCAGCTTACACGTAAAAACTATTTGACTCCCTCAACCAAGCAAAGAGCAACACCTAGAGTCGAACCGCACTTCGTTTTTGGTGGTGTCGTCAAGCACAGTTCGAAGAACAGACTTTGGTGATGCTTGACTGTTGTTGCAGACTGTCCCTGCCTGCGGGGTTCTCGCCCGCACGCTCTCTCCCTCTGATTGTCGCTCTCGGCACCTTTCAGTCCAATCCGTGGAAGGCGGGCAAAGAAGTCCGGAGGACGAATGTCACTACGTAATGCATTCCATCTGCTAAGAGTCGCCTGCGGTAGTTTGTGGGTCTTAATGCACACCTGTACCATTGGTCTGTCAAACTTTTTCTATCAACCTCCAACTTCGCACGTCGATTGATAGACTCTAACTTTTCTGCCCCTTTTTTTTTCACCGCCCTCTCGCATCCTTCAGGATACCTTCCAACAACTGGCTCAAGAAACTGCCTCAAGCCGTTGGAGCCCAATACATGGCGGAGGGGCATTGTAGGGTGATGCGGGAAACAGCCTGGCGGATTCTTTCCTGATTCTTCAACAGCAGAAAGAACCGGGGATCCAAACTGCAGTTTCAAAATCACGCCGCGGCTCTACGTCGTTCGTGCTCGCACACACAACTTCTTGCTCCCCGTGATGCACGCGATAGGTGCCACAACCGCTGTTTCCTCTTGCAGTGCCTCCATGTACATGTGTGTTGTTGCCCTCCTACCTTTATGTTGCATTTTATTTGTGCCTGCCGGTGACACCAGCTGGTCCATAGTAGCTACTTTTTATCGTTCTCCCCCTCCCTTCGCCCCTTCTCGGCGAGGGAGGGGAGGATAGAGAGCGGGCATCGGACGAGGCCGGGGTAACCCCCAAGAATTTTGCGTTTTTTTTGTTGTTGTGAGCAAATGCTCGTATCGCACAGCATTTTGTTCGAACAAGATACCTTTCCCGAGGCGACCGTAGTTTTTGTGCATGTGCCTATGTGTGTGTGTGATTACTAACATCGACCTCGATAGCCGGCTTAACCATGAAAATTCATCGGTCGCTGCAAGTGTAGAAGGAGTCTGTCTATTCTTTGTGTGTGTTTTCCCCGATTTCCGACCCTCATGGTCTTGACTGCGGGTCGTCCATTGCCGTGGACTGGGTGAGTGCTTGGTGAGCCCGGAGGCCGAAGCTTGTATTTGTAGCTGGATTACAGGGCCTTGCGTGCCGTCCGTTGTGATATAGGGACAGCAGCATTGTACCTGATGCGCTTGGTAGCGCGTGAGATAACATCGTTTTCTCTATCTGTACCATCATACTATTTGTTAGCTGGATGCTGTAAGAATGTTTTCCCTTCGGTAGTATCAGTCACGTAGACTGTGTACAGCATACGGGGTGTGTCTGCCTGGTTGGTGAAAGAGGTGCTGGAGAATAAGGTCCCACATGTAGGGTGGGGGGGCGGAGGTGGGTGCTGTCTGAGACAGAGCGCAACGTCCTACCTGGTGTATACGACTCATTTTTTACTGTTATATATAGAAGTATATGTAGTCTACCAGCTTTACAGCCCACTTCTCAGACCTCCAGGGCGTGCAGGGAGATTGACTTAGTTGGCCAGACGGAAATCGGCGTGGAATACTTCTCGCTACAAAGAAAAAAATGACGCCTCGTTTCAGGGGCTTGCAGTTCTCTCTAAATGATAAGCTCTCTGTGCTTTTCTGAATATTGTTTTGCTCTGCTTTTCTCTTCCTGAATTCCACGGTTTCGGATTTACATTCCGACAAGTTCACCTTCACTCATTATTAGTCTATGGCCACCAAGAAAGAGAACTTCGACCCTAGGAAGATTTATTTGAACGAACGCCAGCTTGTGCCTGATATTTAATGCTGAAGTTTTTCAAGCTTTTTCAAAAGGTTCATCATAGGTGCTTTGGTCATATGCACGCCAGGATGGGCGCTGCACGCCTCACCCCACCAACCCATGTGCGCGCGGTCGACCGTAGAGCGTCCTGCTAGCAGTGGGAGGATTCCTGCTTCGGCGCCGACAAAGGTTCAGATGTGTTGAATTGCTCTCTCACGCGCGCTTTGAACAAGGTGTAAGGCTGGCTCAACATCTTTCACACACACTGCACCAGCACTGGAATTGCACTCTGCGTCGATCGCCCAACACCCAACACAATGTGCTGCAGCATGATCTACAACAACCCTAGGGCATGTTGGTGCCCTATGCGTTGGTGCTGGAAGCTTGGTGGGATGTGCCGGCGTTGCGAAAGAGCGACGCGCCTGTACGAGGTGTGCTGCCTTGCACACCCTGTCTGGGTGCATCTGCATTCCACCTCACACTCGTTTCGTCTCTCTCAGGAGACGCTCACAACGCTCCAATCAGGCCCGTCTTGTTTGGCGACAAGGCACCCAGAGCTGTGGAGCGTGCGGTGTCGAAGGTTTCACCCGAATGAAAGCATCTATATGGGACATTTTGGTGACTTGGTCGAGGGTCGTTCTGATCAGATCCCTGATGGTAGCATCGTGACATCATCGCATCGTCAACAGTAAAGAGTTAAGCCTTCGGACGAATGGGACTGGTCCCAGGAACGGTGCTGTGAAAGGTCAAAGTTAAGTTTTTCCAAGAAATAATCCGAAACTGTCCATATTACTGACACATACTCATTGGCATTTTACCTGACTTCAATTTTTTACAATGTGGTGAGTACGTGGAATATCCTGATCCTTGTACCTATGCGTTCCTTACGTTTAGGTGAGCCTATCGCCATGGCCACGCGGAATCGTGTCTTTCCCTTTCGTTGTTGAGAAAAGAGGGTGTAGGCTCAATACGAAGTAGTGCACAACAACAGCAATTTTTGTAAGGATGTACTCGGTAACAGTTTTTAGGCGGACATCCTTTCGGCGGTGACACCACAGACGACGGTGATTTTTCGGGGACAGGCAGAGTTACGTTTTTTTACGCTGTCAACTTTGGTGGAGGCGGTAAAAGAATAAAACTCCTGTAAGCCGGCGGTGTCCCACTATCGCTCATCAGGGCGGCAATTTCACGGCGGTTATCAACGCCATATGGAAAAAAAATCGAGCACCGCCAACCAAGGCGGCAGCTACGTTGCGGCAGCTTGACTATTCCCTAATGCCTCGCTAGGCCAATAGGCCACGGATAGTCGCGGCATGAAGCAGAGTACACGCGGTCCCTAAGCGAGTTTTTATGAAATTGGAATTATATCGTGCCCCAAGCCTTAAATAACATTCGTACGATGCAACCCCCTACGTCAAAACGCTTTCAACAGAAAAAATCACGACCCCCCAAACCAACATCCCTCCTGGGTGTTGCTGCCAGCGAATACCTGTGCTACTCGCAGCACTAGACAGCAGAACCTGAAATCGTTGCTCCAGTTGCGGGGCATCCTTCGAAGCACACACAAAGATGAGAGAACATATGGCAATCGTGAAAAGAAACATCGACTTCGGCAAGCCTTATCGCAAAGTGTACACACGGGGGAGACCCATCCGTGCCAGATATGACAAGAAGACAAAAAACGAGCGCAGCGGCAGGCGTCGAAACCTAGAATAGGTACATCTTGTATCTTGCGGCCTTGATAAAACAGGCTTACAGCTGACACTTCGTATAATTGTCCATACCAACACAAAAGAAGCCCAGCCCGCGTTACGTACTGGTGGAAATGCGCTTACTACCCCGAGGCAACGACGCCAAAGAAGTGGAAAACTTCGTCCACGTCGTAAACTCCCACACGGTGATCGCACTCCCCGCAGGAAACAGGGTGGAACATCTCTTGCTCTTCCTCTCCACCCTCGGCATCGACTTGCGCGGTTTGATTCTGGCGGTCCACGCCACCACCACTATCTCGTGGAACTGATGCGACTGCTGGCGTTTTACCGTGGCCTTTGCGCCGCCCCTTTCTCTGCACGCTGCCGCCTTCCGATACGTCGTCGAGCGTCAGGAACACGTCGTAGTTGATGTTGACGTTAATCCCCGTGACCGCACGAAACTGGTTGTAGTACTTAGCGTGCCGCTGGCACTCCAAGCACACCGTGGTAAAGCACAGGGGGCAGCTAAGCTGGGCGTCGCTAGCCACGCCCATTGCCCTCCGCTGGTTATTGCTGCTGCCCCCCTGTTGCCTCTTCTGCGCTCCCGCTGGGGGCCGTCCATCGCCGATATCGCTGTCGGAGATTGTTGGCGGTTGATCCTCGGCGATTTCGTCCTCGTGGATCTCCTTGTCGTCGTTGATTGCCTCGCCTTTTCCGATCTTGTTTTTGACGCCGGCAGGGGGGTTTCCGTCTTCTGCTTCTGCTTCGCACTCGGTGGCTGGGAGATGCTGCGCTCGTAGATACATATTCCACAAAGTTTCCGTCAGTTGAACAAGCGGACGTCGGTGTCAAAGTTCAAGACTTGCGATCCCTTTTCGAGATCAACTCGTGACATCTCGATGCGCTTTTTGGATTGCTACATACATCAAATTCATGTTCAGGACAGAAAAAAAATGTGCTGCTGACATTGTATGTATATTTTCCCAGCATTATTGCCCGAACATGTTTCTTCCGGCGACGATTAAGATTTCGATCCGGTGCGAATGGGGAAGGAACGCTAAACTGAACAGGTGTTGCGAAAACGCGGTACGGCTACTTTTCCCCGCCGGGCGAAAGTTCTTCGACACACATCGGATAATCGGTCCAAACAAAACCACCTCATGCCTAGCGCAAAAAAAGTGAACATGGCGCGCTCTTGAGAAGCGTCGATCCCAGCCATGCAGGCTTGACATTGAACTACTGACGACGGCGGGGCGAGCGCCGGCCCAGGGCGCAAAATACCCAGCAACGCTTAGCCAACATTCCGTGAACCATGCCGAAACATATCGCATCGTTCCATTTCTCCCGTAATTGGAGGAACGAATCGTACACACATTGAGCCGAGGGACGGATGACGCCTGTGCTGATTTCTGACTTCTTGATTTTCGCAAACGTCAATGGGTGACGTCGAAAACTCAACTCTTGTGATCCGCGGCGGCTTCTCCAGTAGGTTGGCTGCGTGGTACGTCGACCAACAGTTAGAACCGCCGCTCACGGTTTCGCGGGTTGGTTTCAGTGTTCAAAAGTACATTATTATTTATTGGACTTGTTGCAACTACTGTACACCTTGGTCGAAGCGACTCACGGCCAACCCACTCGTCACCGGGGGAGAGCAATGGGCCGCTGATAACGATTTCGAAAAAATTGAACAAGATTTGGTGACCAGCAGGTAAGAACCGTTGTTATTCGCTCTCGGTTGAAGTATCCAACAGCGTGCTTCGTGCTGCTGGAGACTGACTACGAACAAGCCAACTTGCACCAAAGAAGGTGCGATGCTCGCGCTCCTGACCACGTGCCGATACCGTGCACTACAGTGGGCACGGCCCCCCAAATGAGCTTGTTGTGTCCAGCTTCACGTGGGTCGATGGTAGGTTAACTCTGGTTTGGCATGCTTTGAAGTCTCGCAGCTGCAAGAAGACGTGCGCGCCTCCATTTGTTCAGGGTCCAAGTGCCGAGATAGTATTTTGTTGGTTACTTATACATTGTGGAATTTCTGGGGTATGCCAGATCTCGAAACACTAGTGAAAGCGAAAGAAGGCCTCTGAAACACAACTCTTGTCCAAGATCGAGGTCGCATTTACAAAATTTTCAACGTAACACGGGCATGTTCGCAAGTTGACATAGAAGCAATCACTCTTGGTTCCCGCGAAGTCGGCTGAATTAACAAGCACACTCATGGCATTTGCCGGCCCCATCCGGGAGCAATGCGTGACGCATTGCATGGTCGTTCTGCGTCGTTTCCCTTGAGTAATGTTATCCGATGTGCAGCTGTGTGGTAGATCGCAGATTCATTGTATGTTGCTTAACATGGATAATGTTCAAAATGCTTCTTTTTTTTTCTCCCATCATTGGACTCTGTCGTCTGCCCCTCTGGCCCCTATCCTCCACTTCTACCAGCTAGACGACCCAACCGGGGTCACATAGGGGGGGGGGGTTGGACCCCTCCTACATGCGGTTCCTGGCTGAGATATTTTTTTCGCGAGAAGGGTACAGCAATCCCTTCCCTCGCGACTTACGAAGTCGATCAACTTTACTAACAACGCAGCGCGTCGCTTCCAACGGAGATCAGGATTTTATCTGACGAGAGAAAACTCACTCTGTCGGGACTCGAATCAATCACCTGTCCCTTAGCAGGCTGCGAGGTTACCCACTAATAGACCACCGGGGCGACCGGTAATGTACCTCCACGAATGTAAATTCTAAGTGGTGAGATGAGAACGGCGTAGTGGTTGGGAAATGCTCGATGAACGGCAACGGTGCATCTTTGAAGTTTCGCGTGTGGGGCGATGGTGGACGTGCAGTCTACGTTACTCCTGGAGTGTTTGTCAAGGTGATCAGGCCATGAGGGCGTCCAAACCAAAGGACGAAGGGTTGAGCAGAGCCAGAGGGAAAGACTGAGAATTCCCAATGACATCGCGGGACTGTCAGCTTTCCTTGGTGTGAGCGTGGCGTGTGTGTGTTTGCGTATGGTGTGTGGTGATCATGTGGTGATGGCATTGCTGGGCAATGGTTACATGTTCGGCAAACGGACAAGCCATCTACTAACCTCTGCACAACATGAGCCGTTTGAGGGATGAGTTGAGCAGTAGAATGGGCGTGTTATCGAAAGCCAATGGACGTTCGGAAGATCGATGCTCTGATGCTCACCTGTTTCCTAACCCATCGTGCGTCTTCCTCGTCGAGGTCTTCCGCGTAGAGATCGTCATCTTTATCGAATCTTAGCGTCTCGTCATCGCTATCTAGTCCACCGCTGGGGTCCTCGTGCAAGGGCGTCCCTGGTACGGGCTCCGTATCCACTTCCATGGTCTATGAGCGTTTGTGATTGTCGGAGTGGCCGTGGTGTGTGTGCGGCGGAATCTGCGGCACGGAAGACACCACCCCCTCGGTAAAGCCGCACATTCCCGCCGCAGAAGACGCAAGGTCGTTGTTCACAGCCAGGGGCAAGGCCCGTGGCGGCAGAGGCAAGGCTTGCGGCGCGTTCATGTCTAGCGCGCGACAGCTGGCAAGAGCCTTGATGGCGGTGTCCACTTTTCTGCGCGCGCCGTGGGGAGTTAGCCTCGCGGTCAAGGCAACCATCAATGCCCGACCTCGTCCTCCAGCAGCATCAACTTGGTCAGGTTACCATCGCAGCAGCAGTTGCGGCGTTCGAGGTGTTACTGCGGTCCGGCAAAGAGCGGTTGCGACAGGAAGCGGCGGGGCTGCGGTGCTGTCAGAGCCAGTTGACGTCAGGGTGGAGGATACTAGCAAGAGCGCCGTAGAAGGGATTGAAGTGAGCCAGCAAGAGGTGCTCAGTAGGGAGGCGTGGATGGCGCGAGCGGAGGCGCACCGGGAAAGGTGGGGAGCACAAGCACGAAACCACGACAAAGCCGAGTGCGCGGGAAGGGTAGTGAAGAACACCAACGCTAGTCAAAGGCCTTAATTTCGGTGGAACCTACTGCGAAGGGTGTACTGCTGTAGGTGGTGGTATTGCGTCCCTTTCCCCCATTCTTTCCCCAGCGTTCGCTGCCACGTGCAGTATATTGTGACAGTGCTGTTGGGTCGCCATCTCGAGAAGAACTCGTGCGGATGTAATGTCGTATCAATCATTCGGTGCAGCCTTTCATTCCCAACGCACAGCGTAGAGCATACAGTGCAGCCTTTCGTCCCGACCGTACAGCGTAGAGTTATTGCATGTTGCAGACATCTCCATGAAGTACCAACACAGCAGCGTAGGGTGTAGGTTTTCGGCGAGCGTATCGCGTCCCGCTCTTGCTTCCCTTGATCCTTGATTGGCCCGTTGTTCCATCCACAGGGTGCTGTCTCTTACGAACGGTTCAGTACATCACGATGAAAACGATCCCATCTTCAACTTCCTGTTCGAGTACTACCACTTCAAACCCAGGTGTGTATGCAAGTCTACAACTGCTGTAGTTTGTGCCGATCGAGACCTCTCGTTGATCAATGAAATTTGATCATCCACCGTAAGGTCGGCCCCGGGATGTACTCGTGTAATCGCATGTCAAAGTCGTTTGACCACTGACCTCGCATCCTACAAAGGGAGGGCACCGTTAAAATATTGTGGGATAATGCATGAAGATGCCTGAGCTGTTGCACACCGAGCAGGAAGACGTTTGTTTCTAGGTTGATATCGAGCAGACGCCGGTCGCGGTCTTCGGCGCTGGTACTCACAGCAGTAGTACCGTAGCAGGCGTTCTGCTTTTAGGCTTACTAAAGTTCTTAAGCGAAACTTCTTCCACGAAAAACGATTCCCCTGTCAAGAGTTGAGAGAGAAGGTCCCTATTAGCTCGCCCCTAACATCGCTAACCCGCCCACGACATGACTACGGCCGCGGGCGGCAGTACGATAACCGTAGCCCCGCTAAGTTGTCAAACTATGTATGCTCTGCGATCATGCCGCCTTAACAACAACAACAACGCAGGATGCTGCTGCAGTGGACGCCCGGTTTTGACGCCTACCTTCTGGACGCTGACCCTTCTCTCAAAGGTACCAACGTTCTTTGTCAGGCCTGAGGATTTGTGGCAGGCGTCGTCGTTGAGAGGTTAATCGAAGGTCGTATTCAACATATTCACAGCTTTGGCATCTCATGCAGGGCAGCGTCTGATCCATTGTTTCATCCTTACAGCTTCGAGTTTGACCACTCTATAAGCACGTTATTATTAGGCGCAAAGAACATCGACTGCAGATACGGCGCGTTTAATTGCAACTGACAAGCCGAACGTTTTCTCGGATGACATCGAATCATGTGCCGTTGGCTGCCTGGGGAGTGCATCAATTCACATTTCGCGGTAGAGATGGCGACCCCTTCTCCACATTTTTTCTTGGTGTTACGTTGAAAGCAAATGGTTTTCCATTTTGAGGGTGGAAGGCAATGTACATCATGTTCGCCACACGGACCCCCCGAAGAGAAAATGAGTTGATGGGTACGAGGTTTCCGCCGCCGACCTACTGACTGTACGGTCTCACAACCGACCGGGCAACTATACGACCATGACAACAAACCGTCCTGCTTTCTGCACACTCGCATGGGGTGCTCCACGATTGGTGGGACGAACGGCATTACCCCTCTGTCACTCCCGCCCACTTTTCTCGACCGCCCCCCCACCCGCCCCCACCGGGCGGCTTCTACGCCAACAGGTAGTCCACTTCCGCAGAAGGCGTGGGAGTCGGGCCCTATGGCTGGGGGGAGTTACAATCCGTTCGGGCTTGATAATAACAGGTGGGGGGGGAGATCGGGCGGGACATGCCACTGTACGCAGATTGAACTCCTTCGAGAAGTGGGCATGAATGACCCGGGGCCTGTGGGCAACGAGGTTTCGATTCGAAGCTACCTGATAGGCGTCAGTGGGCATCGCAGGTTACTCACGTGTAGATACAACCAACCCCGGAGAGTAGGGATTCCATAACTTTCTCGCACCTGTTATTCCTTCCCGGCGAGAGAAGCAACCTCAGAAATCCGTTGAGCCCGTCTCGCACCCTGATATCCTTCTCGTGTCGGCAGAAGTGATTGATTCCTGCAATCCTAACGCTGGACTGCTGGACTACAACAAAATTGTCAATGGGAATCGCTTCTATCCCACGGAAAGTGTACTGGTCGGCACCTATCCCGTTGCCTCCTATCCCAAGTCAACTCGGATGCTGTTCGTGCTGCCGACAGACACATTCAGAATTCTGAAGAAAGAAACGACGCCGATTCAAACATATGGCCCCAGCAGATTGAATTTTTTCGGATCGGTTTCACTCCGACCCGAAAAAAGCGTTCGACTCAAGATCCACCTCCCCTCCCTCCCTGCCTCCTGCGAGTGCAGGCGAGTCCAGGTGCAGTGGATGCGAGACCTTCTCCAAGCCACGACCTCGAGAGCACCCGTGCTCCACTGCTTCGGCCTCCATGAGTGGGCGATGCTCTACCGTCCCCGCGGTGCGGAGGAGGCTGGTGTCGACGCGAGGAGTGTCCACCAGATGCTGCCTCTGCGAGTGCCCCAGGACGAGGTGAGATTTTCCTCGTTGTTTTCTTTTTTTTTTTTACGTATTTTGTTTTTGTGCTGTTGTACGCGAGTTTCCTAGTTTAGGAAATTTGGGGTGGGGAAGGTGGAGTAATGATAGTTTGTGGTTGTAGGTTGGGGGGTTACGTTTGCAGGGGGGGTGATTGGCCGAAAGTACGATCAGCATGCTTTCGCGCCTCTGCGGGCGTTCGAGACCACCGTCAGATATGTCTTTTTGCGCGGGTGGTAGTTGAGCTATGGTTCTACTGGTGTGCTTGGGCAGTTTCTCATCCGACGCACGTTTCCCCTTCCACCGCGAAGCAAACGCTTCCCCCAGCGGATGGAGCCGGCAGGAAGCGAAAATCGTGCCCCGCTGGCAAGAGTTCGGCAATCCTCACGCTATCCACACCGCGCGTGTCCTCGCGCCACTCCTCTCCATCGTGCCTTTTTCTCTTCGAAACGTCGCTCGCTCGCAGTCGTTCCTTTTGCACGTTGCCTGATTTGTGTTTTTGGTCTTCCGTACAAACGCGCTCCTCGTGTAAAGTCGTCGTTGCCTTCATGTTTTCATCCGCCGGTTCCGTGTGCGCATTACGTGTCAGATCAACGCGATGGTGGAGGGCAGAGGCGGCGCGTTGGCGTGTACCCACTTCGACGCCTTTCGCTTCTTCACCCCGGAAGCAAAGTGAGCGAGGCAAACGCCCCTCTCTCCCCGACGGAGGCGAATTACTATTTACAATGGGAAGGGGTGGTAGGGTTCGTGTAGAAAATTCAAGATATTTACTAGGGCGGATTGTACGAAGATACAGAGCGTTCGTACGTGGAGAGGTGTCTCTGCTAGGAGCAGTTAGAGGTTCCACGTCTACTGCTGCTGTAGGTACATGTACACAGATACGTCGCCAGGTCACAAATAGGCGAGCAAGCACTCGTGCTGCTCTAGAGGGCAGGCGCTCTTCCTCGCCCTCTCCCCGTCGTGGACTTTGTTTTCCATCGGGCATCAGAGGTCCAGGGGCGCGTGTGCTGGCTAGCTGTGCACGCGCTGGTACGCACACGACAATGCGACAGGTGGATCCCTGCCCCCCTCCCGGCCCTAAACTCGTCCCCGATATCTACGGTGCCCCCGAAAATGTGCAGGCCTTTGAATCCTGTGCAGCTGGAGAGGGTCGGCCAAAAATCCAACGACCAGCCGGGGTGCGTCCACGCCAACATGGACTTGTTCAAGTGGGCCCTTAGGCTTTGGCCGCTGCTGCCATCGGAGAAGCTCGCCGACGCCCTCGAGCTGGCGGTGTCCTGCCGAATGCTGGTGTGTCCGTTTGCCCGCACAACGCGTCTGAAGTGGCGGCTAGTCTACGCATGTGTATCATCTGCGGCAACGTATGACGCAATCGTCTTACAATCCTTGTACTGTGGTGATTGTGGCCATGCTGTCCCCGCGCCCCCCTTCCTTGCGCATGCGCCTGAGTACGGCCTCCGCCGTGATCAGCAAGGAAGATAACGATTGACAACACCAAAACTCCATGACAGTAGCAGCTGCGCAACGCCCTTTGTCGTCTACTCATCTGACCCCTACCCTCCCCGCCGTCGGATGTCACCATATCAACGAACCCCCCGCTGTTCGCGTAGGACATGAGAGCTTCTCCGTACGATCTCACCGCACACGGCAAGGTTCCCGAGACGGTCGTCGGCAGGGGGGGGGGCAAGGTGGGGGGTCTGCCGCCAGAGGCGTGGGACCCCACCCCGGTTAGGATAGAGACCGAGGAGGGTCGGAAGGAGTACCAGCAGGCGCAGGCAGAGCTGTACCAGAGGTCGATGCCCGTGAGGCGCTCGCTGATGAGACACATGGACAGGCTGCTGGATATCTGGGGGAGATAGCCAGCTGCAGAGAGAGGGGACAATGATAATTTCGTGTGCTTGAGATGTAGCTCGCTGAACGACTGGCATAATAGACCACTCGTGGTCATGTGTAGGTCGGGAAAAGCTAGAAGGAGGGCACACAGCACCCACCTACTGCCTTGTTTATTAGCATGCTATCCACAAGGCGTCCTCAACGTCATCTCGGGTGCCTGCAACACTTGCAACTTACGTACGAGCTGCCGGAGAGATGGAACCGGACACACCGTGTCGTGCCTGGCGTGTCGGACAAACACGGGCGGCGCTTGGGCGGGATCTTGGAGGGAACTTGTGAGTGTTGTTGTACGCTCTAAAGCCAGCGGCCCTGCTTGTTGTCACTCGGGGCAATTGTCTCGGTGATGATGTAAGGTCATTGCGAGCTTGGTGTCGCGTTTACAAGGAGTGTCTCCGGTTTCGGACAGGAGATTGTCCAACGAATAATAAAAAGACGTGAACTCAAGACGAAAAGCGTGTAACGGCAACTCCAAGACGTGCGTGCACCACTCATTAGCGGTGGCGTCATGAGTTCTCGTCAAGATGATTTGACTTGTCCGTGTAGCTTAGTCTACACACAATTTTACTTGACGATCAATGGCGAAGAGTGAAGAACAACAACAACGCTCAGAACTACAACACCCGTACGGACTGGAAGAACAGCAGCAACGATAGGTAAAGAACACGCTCACAACGGGAAAAGGACGAATGCCGAATCGACACAGACAACGCCGAGCCTGTGCCTTCACCTAGATTACGCAAAATGTTCCACAAGACAAGCATAAAAAAAAAAAAACACTAATGCCCCTTCACACACACAGTGAAATCATCACTCCTGTTGAGGTTCGACAACATTGACTGCTCAAAGCAACCAACGCGTCGCTTTTCTGTCGTCCAGGGCAGACTGTTGGGTGGGGAGGGAAGGCGGCGAGGGAGCCGCACAGGTCCAGGACACGGGGGATGTACATGACAGCAGCAGGCCGTTGCGCCCGGGCAGTCGGCTGAATCGACGTGTAGTAGCTATCGAAGCAGGTCGAAACACCAGACCGAGCATGGCGGCTTCTTTTCCTTTCGCTTTACGCTCGCTCCAGGCCGATTTGCAGCTGCTTCATCCACTCCAGTGCCTGGGTAAACACACAGCAACGGGAAAAACACGTACGACAAGACGAGTAGGACGTTTAGTCAGAAGCACATATGATGCAGCACCGTCAAAAAAATAACCCAATGGAACTAGACGCCTGCAATGCTCACGAAAAAAAAATCCGCCAGTTCGCCATTCGCAACACGTGCAAATATCACGGAACTCCTGCAAGAGGCTCCTACCCGCTTATGAAAAAGATTCGGACAGTCAGATATACTGGTCAAGTGTACTATCTGCAAGTCTCAACAACAGCAGCAAGGGTGGAAGCAGTTACATGCACGTCATACTTATATTACCTCCGGGGTCAGGTCATCGCGCTGGAACTTGAGGCAGTACCGGGCGTAGCCCGCAAACCGCTCCCTATCCACCGGCCTCAGCGCTATCAGCGCCTGTCTAACTCGCGGGACCCCCATGAGGCTCGCCATCGCGTTTAGGAAAGCCGGAGAGTAGCTGTTAGCGTTCCCCTGCGTTACGGGAGGAAAAGCAACCCGCGCACGCGAAATTATTGGCAATTTGATGGCTCAGGCAGAGAAAACGAGACAGGAGGAGGCAGGGAGGGGAGGAGGGGGAATACAATCGTGACTCTATGTTCCCATATTGCACGGAGAGCAAAAGTGCACTTACAGCTGCAAATAATGGGTAGTTTTTCGAGCAAAGGAGAGAGGTAGTGTAAATAGCAGCCAGGCGAGAATGATCCTTCTGCTGAAACAAAACTCATCCCTGGCATGGTATTGCGATGGTGGCAAACAAACAAGCGCAGGGAGGAAGAGAGAGAGAGAGGGAGACGGAGCAGATGTGAGTACGTCCGACCCCGTGGGACACCGTGGCAGAAAAAAGCTTGTGTTCTGCTAGATAGACAATTATAGCAAAATAACGCTGTTCCAGGCACGGCTGGCTCCATGGAATCATTGTCTCACCCCCCCACCCCGCCAAACGCGCCGTAGACCGTAGACATAACAAGCGCATCGTCCCCTCTTCCTTCCAACTATTATAGATACCATGTACCGCTGTTGGTCTCACCCCTCTTGCCACCGGTCTCGGGATGGCCACACCGATGATCTTCACCATGAAGAAGCCGATCAGAGCAGGGTCTAGGCCTGGGCCCGCAGCCAGCTTGCGGAGGTACTCGAAAACAGGGAGCATGTATCCTGAGAGAGCCAGAGAACGCGTCCGTGACGGGCGAAAGGATGTAGCACGGGCAGATTCCGTCAGAAGGCGATGCTCGCATATGATTGGCTCGACGCTGACCGTGGCACGTTTTCTTCCGACTGTACAATGATATTGTGTGTTGCCCAAGACAAGCCCGGCTGGGGGGATATAATGCAGCACAAACAGTACCAACAGCAGTAACGCCAGCAAATAGCGGCGATGAAAAGCGCCAATGTGCACTTCTGCCCCCGCGACGCAATTCCAACATCACTGCGACGCACGACAGGGCTTGGGATCGCCTCAATTGGTTCGGACAACTGCATCACGGGAAAAACCGCAACATGAAACACCTCCGAGCGAGCGGGTGGGTGACGTCGCCGGGACCGCACCTTTGACCACGAGATCGGCCATGCGAAGCAAGATGTGCTGCTTCAGCTTCGCCTTCGCGGCGGGAGGCGTGTCGGGCGCCGTGCGCGCGTTCAGCATCAGCTTCAAGATCTGAAGCAGACAACGGTAAAAAGCGCGGGAGCGGAACAACTAGGTAGCCAATGGCGAATAAAACGACAAGAAGAAAAGAACTAGCGTTCGCTCTCCAAACAGTCGGGTTCTGGGTACTAAAGGTGGGGGGGGGAGAGGATTTCATCGTTTGAGCCTTCGATTTGTCCGTACAGAGCACACGCCCGACTCCTCGGCCCCAACACCTCCACGTTCAGCGAAGCCTAGCGAGAGGACGGGCTGCCTGCCACCTTGCCGAAACAAGACCGGGTTTCTTCAGTACGCTCATCTCTTGGGCACGTTCTCAAAAAAACAACCACATCCAGCTCTGTTTCCTCTGCTTACCTCGAAGGCCTCCGGGCGCTGCGGGGGGTGCTCGTCCGCCGCCTGCCCGCAAAGCTTCAAGAACACGGGCGCGTACGACAAGAAGGAGGGCGTCGACACGAACGACTCCGTGGACGCCTGCGCGTGGACCCACTTGAGGACCCCGAGGCTGACAAGCGGGTGCTCGGCGAACGGTCGAAGCCGCCCCTGAAGGGAGGCGAGCTGCGACGTCTCGAAACACTCCCCGGCCGCCTTGAACCGAGCGAAAACAATGAGAACAAGTAGAGCCGAGAGCGAGGGTTGGCCGCAGGGGGGTACTCGTCTCCTTCCTGTGCCAGTGAGCCCATCGACCACGCATCACTCTCGAGACGGCGCGCCGCTTTCAACAGACACGATTCCTGCCTTGACGGTTCGACCAAGCGTTGTGTCTGCCATGTTCTCCGGGGGAGGACGGGGGCCTACCAACGAAGACGAAACAAACCACCGCTAGAGAGGATCGTCGTGTTCTTTCAACCGCAGACCTCATGGAAGATGCATCGACACATATATCACCCTCACACACCTGCAGGAGCGCGTGCGACGTCTCCGCGAGTTCCACAAGGTCTATCACCTCTATCGCCTCCCCGCCAAGACTACCACCGTTGCTGCTGCTGCCATCGTTGTTGGTGTCCAGCGGGGGCACCTCTACGCAACTCGCGTAAGCGAGAATGGCACAGCACCTGTAAGAACAACAAGAAGAGACGCAGCGAGAGTTGACAACTCGAGAGGATGAAACTTCCGCAAAGAGCCCAAATATCAAAAATGGCACCAAAAACGTGCTTCCTGCACCAGCAACCCTTACCCCATTCAAAAGAAGATGCAGCTCCAACTTCACGTGGCTGTTATCTCATGGTACTGTACGTCTCAACACTCTCTGTAACGCCGGAGGAACAAACCTGGATGGACTCACCAGGGTTGCTTCCGCAAGCGCTAGAACCAAGACTCTTCCACAGCCAAAACATCCCACGATACCGGTGACACACCGGAGCCCACGCCACAAATAAAAATAAGATTGTCATCTAGCGCCAAAAACAGTTTCTAGCTTACCCCGCCCTCAGGTCCTCCGAAGGACATCGATGTGCAGGGTGGAAGAGAGCTTCCAGGAGGATGTCCATCAACGTGGGATGCCGCACCAAATACGCCGGCGGTCGCCGCTGGCGTTGCTCGCTCTCCGCGGCTTGTAATTCCACCGCCGCCGCTGCTGCGCCGATCACGGCCACCCTCTTTTGACGCGTTGGCGACCAGAAAAGAAGGAGTAGAGCGGTGATGGCACAGGATTTTTTAGTCTAGCGGGAAGGCGGTGGCGGGTGGAATGAATCGTGTCGTGCGCGGGAGGGCAAAACACAATGACGGCGAGGACGACGATGACAGCAGTACCAGCGACAACAACAACAACAACAACAGCTACTGTTCTCGTCACAGCGGACCATCATCTGAAAACATGCTTACTATGCATCTGCAATTTACAATGTACTGTACAATAGCACTTTCGGGGGGAATCATGAACGGTCCTGGCCGCTTGAATACTACGACGTTGCGACCATACCTGCACGGCGGCCGGCTTTCGACCAGGGCACCAACCGCAACTTCTCCGCGGCATGAGGCACGCCAACACACAATGCATCAAAAACCTCGGGGAAAACAAATCTGCCCAAATGTCTCGATTCAACATCGCCGATCCCCTTCTCTCTCTCTCTCTCTCTCTCTCTCTCTCTCTCTCTCTCTGTGTGTGTGTGTGTGTGTTTT